GTATGATGAAGCAGTAAATTTGTTGCGGTACCTGCTTTTTAATGAAGGTTTGGTTTTACAATGCGAACAAATTGGAATATATTTTTTCGAAAAAATCAGTCGTACATTTGAAACTAGGTTTTGTGGAATTTTTTACGTTATCTTTAAGATTTTAAATTGATGTTACTAAATACACGGGGAAGTTTGTGGGACCGGTTAGCTTTGAATTTGGATTCTCACTTGAGGGACAAGGCAGACGCTTTTGAAGTTATACAAACAGGGATAGCGGATCCTGATATTGGTGACAAGGATAGGTTGCTCCTTCAGGTTAGCTTTTTGTGTGAAATCGATGTTTTATTGGCATATAATGATGGGGCAAATTTCTTAGTACAAAGTGTTACTTTTGGCGACTGTTTATTTAACTTTCTTTTTCGGGAAGTTTCCGCTATATTGCTTGAGTTTGCTTATTAAATTTTATAGTACAGAAACGTGGAGAGTTTGCTTGTCAAATCTTTTTAGATGCGAGGCATGAAGTTGAATAAAATGTGGAAAGGGCCCTTAGAAATTTCTGATATTCGTCGAGTCGACATAAATGGAGAAATTTTAGGAAAGAATCTTGGAGATCAGCGTACAAATCATTTTGTTACTCAGAGGTTTTAACCTTTTTTTACTGCCTTCTTCAGCCTATTTTTGAATTCATTCTTGATTGTATAATGCGAGTAATATTCTAGAAATGGAGAATCTTACCACTGTCCGGTTGAGCAAGTGGCTTTGAATTATTATATTAGCGAAGAAGGTTACAAGGAAGGTGATTGGTTTGTGAATTTTCCTATCTGAAAAGGACTCTAATTTGGATGGTATTTTTAAGCATTGTTTGCGGCAATTTTTTTCTGATGTAACCAGAGGATCTCTCTAGGTGTTCATGCAGAGGGTGGAGTCTGGCACTTTTTTTACGGGCTTTTGTGCTATGATATAATATTTGACCATGATGTTGGCGACGTCTGGTTTTCCGAAACACAGGCACTTTTTTATCCTTGATGTAGTCTCCCAAGCCAAAATCTAAAAAAGGTCAAAATTTTCACATCGTATGGATTTCAGTGCCATCCAAGTGACTTAAATACGCGTTCCTTTTACACAACAAGGAGAGCGAGGTTTGAGGAGCGGTTTAAAAAGATTGAAAGAACTAAGGTTGAAGAGCTTATAAATCTTGTAATACCTGTATACGAAGAGCACTTTGGCGAAACGAACAGTGAAATATCGTGGGAGTGTTTCACTAATCTTGATCAGATTAAGGTTGTGCAGAATGATATTCACTGGGCTATCTGTACCTCAAAAAACGCCTGTTTCTATTTTATTGCTTCTATGTTTTTGGAAAATTTTTTATTTTCTAGTTGGCAAATCATTCTGTGTTTTCTAGCGCTTCCTGCAATGTTGTCCCCCACGGGTTTTAGCTGCTGTCTTCCGTCGAATCACTACTGACTATCGCAACTGTCGAAGTGGTTTTCCAGACCTTACTTTATGGAACCACCTTACTAAGAAGCTTCTGGTACTCCACTAATTGAATTTAAAACCTTTCGTCATTATCTTCTAATGTACTACTGCACCTTCGAAGTTAATTTTTTTGGGTTTGGCATCTTATTTTGTTATTTCACCACGTGTTAGTTACTACTGCTTTGTTGAGGTCGCCGAAGTCAAGGGGCCAGGTGACAAGCTTTCAACGAAGCAGATTTTGTGGTTGCAATATTTTAGAAAACACCGGGTCGAGGCTCATGTATGTCACGTAGCAGGTAGACCAATTTCTTTTTAGAACTCTATGGAAAATATCGCCTGATTCTTACACTCACTATCTTTCAGCTTCTCACCCCAAACGTATGAGGTGATTACGGTTATGTTGTCTGGTGTGGTTATTGCAGTTTCTCCTCTTGCCGTGAACTGTTGTCCACTAGAAGTAGTTTTAACACTCGATTGCAAATCGCTTTAATAAATAAAATTAGAAATCAACAGAAATTGATCAGAAGAATAGGAGGGCGAGCTCCTTCTACGGAAGCTGTTTCTTTTGGATTGGCTTTATTCCCCGCAAAATGTTCCTACTTTGAATCTGGCTTTTAATGATGTGGTAAATTTCTCGAAATTATGATTCGCGCGCTGAAGTGGAATTGCGATGAATGGTTACCTCATTCCATCTGAACAGAAAAAGCAATTTTGGAAGATAGCTATTTTTTAGGTCTAACCACTTTGTCATCAGAACTTGATTCCTTTTGAAAAAAACTAACTTCATGTACGGTTGCCGAGACAAGAGAGCAGGTATTTTTGTAATATGGATTATAAATTCGTCGGTCTTGGCTAGTTGGAATTTGACACCAAAAATTCTGCTTGATTTGGAATTAACTTTTTTTTTCAACTGTGGGAAGAGGACATTTTTTAGATCTGAATTTTGAATTTATATTTAACGCGCAAATAATCTCCATATTTTTCTTTGCAAGCGGTATTCAGTTTAAGC